ATACAAAGTTTATGTTTGCTATGTTGCTTGTCTAGGTGGAAAAATGTGACATTTTCAGCTCAAACAATTAAAACATCAAGAAGCTGAAACTAAAATGAGATCCAAACTTACAGAAATGGCAGTGGTATTATGTGAACTATTAATTAAAACTGGTAAACAGGTTTTTAAGCTGCTGCTGAAGCTCTGTTTTCTTCCAGATGGTTTCGTTTCATAGCAGCAGTCAGTGGGTGTTAATCCAGCTCCATCAATGTTTTATAATGTTCATCACTCACATAGACTAATGTGAGATTCTATTCTGACACTACCAGCATGATGTTTATTTGGTCATAATAGATATGATGTTGCACAATACCAGTGAAGGAAATTTTGTAACTGATTTATTGAATGTTAGATGCAGTATTGTGTTTTGTACTTTGTGATCATTGCAGCCTTTAAGAGTTGGTGTGTGTCTTATCATGTGTTCTTTCTTTAGCCTAAAAAAAAAAAACGAGTTACTTTCTACGTCTGACATACAAGGTAACACCTCCAGGGGTGTAACCAGGAAGAGAATTACATTATAAGGTCAATTCATTATTATAGTAAAAAAATTGTCAGTGTGTTGAAGAGTCTCTGCTCAGAGCAGAGCTGCTGCTCTGTTTTGTTTGGGTTTTTATCTCAAGGTCTTACGCTGAGGCCTGCTGAGTGCTGCACTGTGAACCCGATTGGAGTAAGAAGATTGAGAATAAAGTTTTGAGAAGAAATCCGGTGGATTCCTGTTTATTTGGACATACCATTTTGAACAATGCATTTTTCCTACACCAGAATGAGCGGTTTAGCATTAATAATCTTATACAAAAACATTAGCCTGGAAGTAAACTATCAAAAAAAGATTAATTTTTCTTTTGTGAAGCACACCTATTGCCAACTTCAAAACAGGCTGCATGACCTCATCACTGCATGAGCACTTTAACTTTTAACATGAAGCATTCAGCATTCATCAAAACAGTTCTAAAGTCATTCAGAAAAGTAAATATCAATAGTCTGCAGGTGAGCATTCAGACAGAAAATATGCAGTGACTGAACGGAGAAATGTACTCTCATGTGTTTACATACCTGTCTTTGATTTTAACATCCTATTTTGCACCCCTCCTGAGGGTTATAAAGCCTTGTGAAATTCTATTGCCAGACAAAAACATTCAAACATTTACAATAAACAGCCTATGGCACAGTTATTGTCACATACAGAAATGACATCTTGTTTTGTTTCATCTGATCTGGTGCCCCCACAGTTCCTGGGAATGGTAAAGAGATGCATCAAAAAATAAAATAAAATAAAACAAAACATTTCACTTCAACCCAGATATGATCTGAAACCCTTTCCAAAACATGTAATTTTTTACACTCAGTTTAGTCATTTATTTTTGAAAAAAAGACAGTTCTTGAGCTTCTAAACAACACCTCCTGTTTTTGTTTGTTTGTTGTTTTGTTTTTTGTTTGCTGGTAAATCTGGTTTCAGCATAATAATGACAGAACACTTACCAAGCTGTTTGAAGTTGTTGTTTTTCCTCTCAGGAAAGATGTGCTGTAGATTCTGAGACACAAAGGCTGCTGCTGCTGATGGAGTCAGCCTCTGCTCTGCTGGGTGGATGTAGGATGGATGGAGGAGGAGAGCTGAGAGCACACTGACGACACAGTGACCACACTCACAATGTGCCTACCATCACACAGCATACATCTTACATAATGCCTTATTTAACCACTGAAGCACTCCACCCCCACACCCCGCAGGAATGAGTGGGGAAGTGCAAGGAGAGACAGAATGTTTTACTGCCCACTTGAAAACAATGTCTTATTAATACATTTTGATTCAACATGAATCTTTGTAAATTTGTTTTTTCTCTGACAATGTTTAGATGAGCTCCAGCGGTGATGCAGAACAGATTAATTTCTTATTTTTAATTTCTAAATTAGCCGAAATTATTGACAACAGCTAAAATTCATACAAAGTTCTGTAAACGTGTCTCTGTCAAAACGTAAACAGGCTGGAGGTCGCAGTGACATGTTAAACCCACCCACTGGGCCTCTTGGCTCTCCATGGTGCTGAAACAGATCACTGCTTCAGAAACAACACTGAACTTCAGATTCTTTCAAAAGAACCAAACCAGAACCACATATTGACCCTGCCATCTGTGAGCTCATGGCCTTTTATTTAAATGTAAAAACGAGGCTTTAATATTCAACACTTTAGATGCTTAGCTAAATCTAGACACGTGACTTTTAAGCAGGTGTTTTTGAATTTATCTGCTGCTGCGGCTGCCAGTCCTGTTGGTCCAACACTCCCCCCTGCTGCCCACCAGTGAAATAACACATTGTTTATGCCCTTTTAGAAAACAAAACTGAAAATGCACCACTGCAAACGTTCTTTGTTAAAAAATAAATATCATAAGTAGTGGAAACATATTAGCTACAACTACTACCGAATAGTTTTAAATAATTTAAAATTAAAACAGAATTTACGAATATATCCTCTGTATACAGTGTATATCCTCATCTCAGTCATTCCAGGTTCTTCAATGTAGTTGAAGCTGTCCATATTTCTATAGCTTCCTCTTCCTCCACTGACGAGTAATTACTCCAATGCATTCAGAAGTAATTCAGAGTGCTTTCTAAAATGAAGGAGCAGTTCTGAGTTTACAGTCATTTCTCATTCAGACATCTTTCTTACTCAAAGCGGAGTTTTGTCCTTTTTTCTATTGTCCAATCATCTGTTCCTTCAAGAGACATTGTAACATTCCCATCTGTTTTCTACAGTGGTGGACAAAGTACTCAACTCTAGTACTTGAGTACAAATATTGACACTCAGGGTCAAATCCACTCAACTACAAGTAAAAGTTACTCCATCAAAAATATACTCAAGTTAAAGTACTGAAGTACTTACTTTTGAAAATACTTAAGTATTCAAAAGTACATGCATTTAAAATTACTCAAGTATTCAAAAGTACAAATCACATTTTGTACTATCAACACATATTGTTTTCAGAGTGAGTTTACAGAACCTTGTAGCTCTCAGAAACCACCTGATGGCTTATTTCAAAAGCCAGAAAGTTGCCATTTGAAATAACTTTAGTTTTGTGTTATGTCTGTGATCTGCTTTTTTTCTACAAAATTAAACAACTGAATAAGCATCCTCTGAGGCCGGTGATTCCATCATTTTTGCCAGGGGTTGTAGAACCACTCTGCTACAAAGTCTACACCACCTATAAAGACTTCAGCATAAAAATGCAATAACGTGAGTGGTGCGTAATTAAATGCAGAAATGTAGTTTATCCGTAGTGAACCCAGACGACATTTAAACTGATAAGAACTATTTTTCAGTCCTAAAATCACAAACATATGATCATGGGTGTACTGGTTTCTCTTCAGTTGTCTCCATTGCTGGGTTCTGTCATTGTGTCCTTGGGCAAGACACTTCACCCGCCTTGCCTACTGATGGTGGTTAGAGGGTCCGGTGGCGCCGGTGCATGGCAGCTTCGCTTCTGTCAGTGTGCCCCAGGGCAGCTGTGGCTACAATGCAGCTTACCACCATCAATGTGTGAAAGGATGAATGTCTTGTAAGTGTAAAGCGCTTTGGGGTCCGTAGGGACTTGATAAAGCATTCTATAAGTTCAATCCATTTACCATTTCTTTGAAACAGAGGTGGGAGCTCAGCTCACGACCATTAATGAAGATGATGTAATTCCAAATTTATCCTAGATGTGAGCTACAACTGTGATTGGTTCCCCATGAGGAACATAGTGTGGCCATTTGCATTTCAAGAAAGAAAAACAGCAACAGCTGATTACAAATAATTACTCAAGTAAAGATAATCAAAAAATGTACTTAACCAGTACACCCATGAGTACTCGAGTAAATGTACTCCACTACTGTCCACCACTGGTTTTCTAGACCATAGGTTCCCAACCTATTTTCCTCAAAGCCCCAATTTCTTACTTTTAAGCCAAGCTAAGCTCCCTGCCTCTCCCAAAGACACGTTCAACATGTATTTCTTTATCAAAATAATAAAAATAATAAAGTGAATGTTTACAAACTTTTATTTGAAAAAGGGAAAACAATAAGTAAGGTAGAGTTTTAATTAATAAAATGGACTTGTTTTGGTGATTTTTATGTACAAACAAATTAATATTTTCACAACCTCTGAGCAGACAAGGTGTTGGACAAATTAATTATCAAGACACAAGGAATTACAAACAAGCAGCAGATCTGGATGAGCTCTCTTTTTACTTGCCACATGGACTCCATATACAGGTCCTTCTCAAAAAATAGCATACTGTGATAAAGTTCATTATTTTCTGTAATGTACTGATAAACATTAAACTGTCATATATTTTAGATTCATTGCACACCAACTGAAGTAGTTCAAGCCTTTTATTGTTTTAATATTGATGATTTGGTTTATGAACCAAACGGTGGAACTTTTTTTTTTAGCTAATCTAGCTGTAGCTCTTTATGTGGTCAACATTTAGATAGCTAATCTTCAACAGAAAAGCAAACCTTTAATGACTAAATCTAATATGTTTTTTTTTTCTACTGAATAAACATTTCCCACAATTTATCTTAACAGGGTGGAACTTTAAGGTTGACTCATACAGGTTTAATATATTTAAGATTAAAAAAGTAAGGAGAGTGACAGACGAAGCTTATCTTGTTGTCCACAGTTGAACTCCCTCAACAACCAATTTATGTCACTTCTTGCAAATGGTTTTTATGGAATTGCAGTCTTTTTGAAGGCAAAAAGGAAACATTCTAACAGGGTGGAAAGTTACTACATGTATAACATAAGGAAAATATAAAAAAAATAGTTTGAACAAATTCAGTTTCATAACAAAATAAGGTTTAGTCCAGTCAATCAAATTATTGAAGAATTTTTTTAAATTTTATTTTATTGTTTTAAACGTCTTGAGGAAATCTATTACACTGCACTGCAGACACAATGAAATCGACCACGTGTCGATTACGCACCAAAAAGGTGTGTAAAGTACAAAATAATATTTTAAATGCATTTCATTTATATTTGAATGATGGAAAACATCTAAATGTATAATTAAAATACTTTGTTATAAATATTTGGCACGTTTTTCAACTGTGTTCAATTGAAGCTCTCTGGCAGGATGTCCATGTTTGGCTCTCTTAAAATGTGTCAGTGCTCAGCAGCTTCACCTCAAAAGACATTATTATCTATGATCTGATTCTGGACAATGATATGATGCTATAAAATTCTAGTTTATTTGAAGAATTTTATTTGAACAAAAATTCACTGCACTTTAAACAGCAAACACAATTTGATGTTAATTTTTTTGTGTTTAATTTATTTTTATTTCTTGTTTTTTCTTTACTTCTATTTGTCAAGCGGTTGACATGGATGTGTGGTTTACATGGGGGCTGCGGCTACAGCTAGGTAGTAGTGGTTTGGATTATCACGTGAACATCAGTTAAAATGAATTGTCTTGTTGTAATAACAAGAAATGACCACTAGAGGTTGGTCGAGTCCTTCAAACCGCACTGAGATGTTTTTCTGGAACTCATCTCAAAGATCCATTTGATTTAAACACAACCCTGTTCTGGTTAATTGAAGATATTTAAAATTTTGAATGTCTATTTTTACACGGTGCTTTAAAACCAGTTCTAATCTAACTTCATATTTTATTTTTTTCTCCTACATTTCCTCACAGGCTTCCTGCAAATAAATTGCTATTGACGTGGGGGAAAAATAAATTTCTTATTTTCATGACCTTGTTGCGTCTTTCAAGCCATCCGATGTTCTCTTAAAATGTTATCCGATGTCATTAGATCTGAGTTGATGCGGGTGATCAGAGTTTTTCTGATAAGCTGTGACTGAAATCTCGCTGCACTCACATTGTAGAATCGTAAACAGGATTTTGCTGATAAGATTCATAGCCTACTTTCAGTTTTAGACCTACAGCTCAATAACGGAACGGTTTTATTTCTCCTCTGATTGGAATCTTATCGTTTTATTAGGATTTAAACTCCGTAACAAAATAACTTGTATGATTTCAGATGTTGGAGCCAAACTTGTTCTCACACTGATTTCCGTCCTTAGATCCTCAGGTTAGTCAGCTCTGGCTGCAGTGCGCGCGTCTGTTTGGAGCTGTGTGACATGAAGTTGCTTGGGAAGCTTTCAGCCACCATGTGGGCGTGTTTCTCTGTGCCCAGCAGCCTCCGATCTTGTGTGGAGTCCAGTACGAAGAACGCACTTCTTCTGGTGCGTCCGAAGAGCACAAAAAGGAGCTCTCCAACACTGACGAGCGAACCATCTCCAGCTCTGGCGGGTTCCCCTGAGTCAAACCTTACCGTGAGAGCAATAGAGAGGGGGTGGGGGGTGGGGGGAAGAGAAAAAGAGGAGAAAAAGGGCTCATTGCCACCTTCCAGCCATGGACGCATCTCGAGTTGTTGCGGTTTATCTGGGCCTTATTTTCCTTGGGATTAAACCGTGTTTCCAGTCTGCTGTTCTCATCCCTGCGCCGAGGAGGAACATGGAGACCAGGGTCTTCCATCCGGGCGTTCAAAGATCATCCAAACTGATTAAAGACTTCTTTACCGCCGGACATCACAGACAAGACACAAAGGACGCTGTTATTCCGCACGAATACATGCTCTCCATATACAGAACTTACTCCGCGGCGGAGAAACTCGGACTAAACGCATCCTTTTTCCGCTCCTCCAAATCTGCGAACACCATAACCAGTTTTGTGGACAGAGGAACAGGTTGGTTTCAGTTTGCTGCCAGCTCCATGACCCCAGACTTGCATAATTCTGTGACACATCTCCCCCTGTCTTACTGCTCCGGTTGGTAGAACTAACCAACAAGTTCTGCTTTTTACGCACGCTTCTAAGGAGGCAAAGAAGCGTGCCGACGCACTTTTACGCGCTCAAAAGCGAATGAAATCAAAAGACTAAACTAAACAAAAACATGAAAGCTGCAAGCCGAGTGAGCAAAATAGTCAGTTATAGTGAGATTTTACGATTTTCTTGACAAACTTTTCTTAGAGAATCAAGTTATATTAGCCTCAAATGAACCTCATGGTAACACCACAGTAAAACACTAATTGGGCAGCTCTAAAAATTAACACGTTCGGTTACTTCAGCAGCAGTTAGAACTCTGAGGAAACATAGCTAAACCTTTTCAG